CAAATAGCTTCGTAATAATTTAGTATATGATTTTATAATTTTTTTTATTTAATAAGATTGAATAAACAATTAAGACAATTTTAATAGTTTTAGAACTTATAGAATTTTTGTGTTTATGAGAAAATGTACAACACCAAATTCCATATCGCATGTCCAAACAATACTTCAATTTCATCTCATGATTCCATATCTTGATACCATATCATGATACTATATCGAATGACCAAACAGATCCTAACTGGAATTGAACTAATGAAATGTTTATGATTTGCCACTGGGTAAAACATCTCAACGAATAGTATCGTATCAACTACTAGTTCAAATTAAAAACACATAATTAGATAAACAAATTACACGAGAGCTAAAATGGAGATGAAACTGCTATAAAAATTTTCACAAAGAATTAATATAGGGACGAGGAAGAAAATATAACTTTAAGAACTCAATGCCCATTAACATCGAAAAACACATATTAATCAAAGGCTTAAGTCATATGCGGCCCCTTAAAGTTGTCCGTATATTTCACTTAGACACCTCAATTTAACCTCATACCTATTGAACACCTTATGTGTTCAAAAACAGTTCCTATTGGACATAAATGGCTTATGTGACAAAATATGTGTATTTCACAGTTCCCAAGCGCGTGAAACCATTTGAAATGATCTTTTTTTCTTTTTCTTTTCAATTAATAGACCTAATTAATAAATAATGCATAAAAATAATTAATTTAAAATAAAAAAATGACCTTCTTCCACATACCTTTCTGCAACTTCTCTGATCTCTTTCCATTCCCACACCCACCTCATCCATCTTTTCTTCTATCCCCTCAAATTCTTCTTCTGTTTTTTTCTTTTTCTATGTAAATCTAATTAAAGTCTCAAATATTTTGGCAAAGTTTCATTGTTTCGATAGAAATAATATTTCGATGAAGCAATTGATTATCTTTTCTGTAAAAAATTTTTTTTCTTGTAATTTGTTATAAATAATTATTAGTGAAAAGAAGATAAAAGATAATGAATAGAAGGTTTTGATGCAATCAAAACGAAAGATGAATGAGGAATTAGCTTAGATTGACAATAATGGTGAAATATGGATAAAATTCAATGGAGAAGAAGTAAAGGTTGGAGGCTATTGTTGACTGGCGTTGAAACACCGGGGCCAGTGAAAAGGAAACGAAGAAGAAGAAGTATGTAGGTTGCAGTTCAAGTCGACGAGAAGAAGAAGAATGGTTGGGTGGCCGGTGGGCTGGGGTGGGGTTGTGGTGAATTAATTTAATTTTTGTTTTCTTAAATTGCTTTTTGATTATTTAAATAATTTTAAAAAAAATATTAATCCAATTGCCATGTGTCATCGCTTCTTTGGTCCATTTGTCATGTTTGAGCGTTTGAAATGCACGCATATTTCTCTTTTATTTGACTATCATTTTGTGTTAAATTGGTATAAATTTATTAAAGTTGAAGTGTTCAATAGGTATGAGGCTAAATTGAGGTGTCTAAGTGAAATATACGGACAACTTTAAGGGGCCGCATATGACTTAAACCTTAATCAAATATAACTTGACCAAATAAAAAATGCAGCCAAAGAACGCAGTCCAAATAAATCAAAATCAATTAAGAATGAGCTGAAGATAGCAAAGAAAAATGACATTAGGCTTTATTAACTATCAGTAAAGATAGATAACCGTAACAAACATTAAAAAGAGAGATAAATTTGGAACATAAAAAGGGGATAAAAACTCAAAGATATAGATTTCACAGTAAGTAAACCAAGAACTTAAATGGTTTACTTGCTATGTGGGCAAATTATATTCTTTTTGCTCGAGGATCTTGGGTGACATAATGGCTTAACACACTATCTGTTCCTTAATAAAGAAAAATATTTATTGTGAGTAAAATCAAACAACTTGCATGATGGAGTGAGATCCCCACATTTTGAATAGGAAGTATAACTTAGAACCACTTCTTTTTTCGGCATTTGAAATAAGCATTGACCCCTTGAATTAATTCTTTTTTTAAAGAAAATTTACCGTAGATTCAAAATAGAAAGAAATATTTGTAGTAGAGACAATCAGCTTAGCAAGGCAACAGGTAATGACCATAGCCATCCTGCCTCCAATTAAAACTCTTGAACAAGATTTCACCATACGATTTGTGCTTAAAGAAGTACCTATTCCTCCATATGCTAACAATGACAACTGACAAGCTCATTGCAACCACATTCACCATTCACAGTCAATCTCACCTTATAATTTGCTATAAATGCAGCAGTAAAAATTGGCACAATGATACCCAATGGAAATGAAATAACCAAGGCTACTGCTGTCTGGAATGAATTTGGCAGTTGTTCCTCGTTATCTTTTTCATGTTCTTGGTTCTGTCCTCATGTTGTGTTGTCTATCTTCATTTGATCTTGCTCTATGTTTTATTGAGAGTACACTGAGACAAACTCTAGGCCATCCTACAAGCATCGGCAAATTCAAAACATTCAAATAAGTTGACATCAATTAACAATGTCCAATTCACTTCATTCATGACAATGTCACTTATAAAATATTAGGTTTATGGTACTTGTAATTGTAACTCAAGAGTTCTTGAAAATAAAGATAACAAATAACTTTATTAATACAACTCCTATGTAGTCATACATAAAAGAGTGCAATATTGTGCTGGAATAATAAGTGGCATAGCTATATATATATATTATTGTTAATAAATATTTTTTATTTAAATATTATAATATTTTTTATTTAAATATTAACAAAACAAAATCTTAATTATTTTCAATAATATATTGAGAATTATAAACCTTAGCCTCAATAAAAACAAAGGGGCCTATGTTGCCGACTTTATATTCTAAATTCCATCCGGAGGAGCATAATTGTCCTTTTTCAATGCGATGAGTCAAAATTGCAAATCGATAAATGTCAACAAATGATAGTAATACAAGGTATCTTGTGTCACGTAAAGTTTGGGTTTTCGCAAACCGCAATTGACTCGCTAAATTTGCACATGATGAGTTAGGAAGTTGTTGTCAGAAACGATTTATTTTAATTTTATCGGAATATTATGATAAAAATTATATAATAAATATAAAATAAATTTTTAATATATATATATATATATATAGTGTTGAATAACATCAATTAAAGAAAAAAGATAACTCAATGTTATTGAATTGTGTAATTTGAGTTGTGAATGTTATCTTCAATTTACAAATTCGATTTTTATTACATGCACAAGCCAGAAATTATTAACTTCATTTCTAAACTATTGATAATCATATGTTCATTTACTTAATTAGTTATCAAATGTACTAACATACTCTTAAATTTAGATAGTCAAAGAAAAAATATTTTTAATGCTTCAATAATTCTAAGACATAATTAATAATTTGCATTTAAGTGTCGTACTTGAAAATTAAATTAAATTAAATTGTGGTGACTCACTTGCCCCCGACCCAACTAACTATTGTGACTATCACTTCCACTACTTAAAAAAGGCAAGAGTGGACCCCATTTCTCAAAAAGTTTCAACTTGTTCACGTGTTTCTAACACCTTCATAACCCACTCATCACAAAACAACCCTCAGATTTTTCCTTTTTCACTTTCAAATAAAATTTGAGAAATATTTAAAATTTTATTTTATTTTTTAATTAATTCTAATTTTTTGTATTTTTATAAAACAAATTTAATTAATTAATACATTGTGTTTTTTTTAATACATTTTAAGTTTAATTATATGTTTTGAAAAATATGGTTTAGCATAATTCTAACTTCTCTAGTAAAATGATTTTCTTTTTTATGCTTTTATGGCAAAATTTACTGTTCATCTTTGCTTGTTCACGTTTAATTGACATGCTTTCTTTATTATAATTAATTATTTGAATTTTATTTGATATGAAATTTATAAGAGTGAAAAATAATCTATTAAGTTAAAGACAAATAGAAGTACCAAAAATATATTTTATTTTGTGATATTATATACCATGTGAAATATTGAGATAAAAGAATTATTTTTAGGAAACTGAAACATAAGAAGTATCTCTTAGGAAAGAAAATATTTGATAAAATAATTTATTCTTTATTTTATTTTTTTAATATATTAAAGTCAATTTTTTAGTAAGTAAGTTGAGAAATGGCTACGATTAGTAGTTATTGCTACTAATAAAGATAAAAAGTAATTAAGTGATAGATTATTTCATAATTTTTTAATTTGAATAATCAAAAATGAATATTTATTTTTAATATAGTAAATAAGTAAATGTGGATAAATGGATTATCAATGTAAATCAAAATTAATAAATTATTTAACAAGATGATTAAAATAAAGATAGTGCTAAAATTACACCCTACTAGTTGAAATTACATTTTTTCTAAAACCTAATACTAGTCCATTTCATGACTTGGATCTTTGCATACGATTTTAATTTAAAACCATAGAAAATTTTCACTTGTAATAATTATTAATTATGCATAATCAAAGATTTTTAAAAATGTAAAACGAAATTAATACCCACTGTTTTCACAATCAAGCTGTGCTCGAGGAGCCTTGCCCATTCTTCACGTGCACTAGCATAACTAAAGTATCATTTACAAATTTGGCCAAATTTAATATATTAATTACTAATATTGATTAAAATCTAATAATTTTAAATTCGTAAACTTCAAATTCTTATTTTCACATTTATTACTGATGAATATTCATGTGTATTCACGAGTCACGTGAATTTAGGTAGATAGGAAAGTGTTCATTCAAACTTCTTGAATAAAAAGTATATTATATATAAATTTTGGATTCATAAACACAAAATTAAAAATTAATTTATCTTTAAATTTTATTAATGAAAATTCTAAATCCACCATTCTATCACTCGGCGGGCCTAAATTCATACAAGTTTTTACAAGTCATGTACCGCCATGTGTATTCACAAGTCGTGTTTCACCAAATGTTAAGCCTTTCAGCTGGGTCCCCACCACTTTCCTATTGTTTTTTTTTCCCTCTCTCTATCTCTAGCGCATACACACATTTTACACACACTTGACTCTGCCAAACAGGGCCCAACACCACCGTCCCCTATCCCTTTTCTCTCTAACTCTTTCCCTTTCCGTCTCAGAAATTTCCACGTACTCGAACAACTTCCTTCGCATGGTCAATGATCACTTTTCCGATCACTTCCTCCCGCCGGCCAATTCACCAAACTAGGTTTTCGCAACTTTCTATCTCGGAGGTCAATTTCTCATGGACGATGATAATTCCAGCCCGCAGATGTGCCGCCCTTGTGTAGAAGAACCTCAGAGTCAAAGGTTGCTCGAGGACGCCGCATCGTCAGTAGAAAACTGCACATCTATTCAGGATATGGAAGGCAAGCAGCTGGTCGGAGTTCCGGGAACGATGTCCGCGGTTGCTACTGGAAATTCTAATTCTCCGGCGACGTTGAAGACGCCGATAGAGAACGGGATCGGCTTTGCTGAGAAGACGAAGCGAGGACGGCCGCCACGTGGAGTAGTAGTTAAAGCTCCGCAACCGAAGAGACAACGAGAGGAGGAGGAAGGGGAAGATGTCTGCTTTATTTGTTTCGATGGTGGTTCTCTCGTCCTATGCGATCGCAAGTGAGTGAAAGAGGCGCTTTTCATTGTTTGCTCTAATTGATTTATTTTCTTTTTGCCTCCTTTTCCATTTTGAATAATTTTGTCGCCAAGTTTGCTGACTTTCACTTTAAAATTGTTATAGTAGCTCTTCATAAATGGTAAAGTTAAAGTGCTTGTCTTATTTGTTCCAAAATTGAGAAGTAGCTGATTGATTGTATTGATTTAACTGTAAAGGGGATGTCCGAAGGCATACCATCCAGCTTGTATTAAGCGGGATGAGGCATTTTTCCGCTCCAAAGCTAAATGGAACTGTGGTATGTACCTTTGCTTCTACGCTAACTTAAACAACCTGTTTACTTCATGTAGTCCTCCGGGCTTGGATTATTGTTCTCATCTCTGTTTATTGCACCTCATTTATGAAATTTGTCTCGGATGTGCAATTGCTAGTTAGTCCATTTGGAACACGGACTTAAGTATCAGGCAAGGTCATGCAGATTTCTGTTTGATGGTAGATTTGATCCATGAGTGGCATATCACAGGCAATAATTTCATATCACTTGAGCATCTGACATTTAGTTAAGCGTTTTCCATATAAAGGTGTCCATGCTACTGCAGTGACACCAAAAAGACATATATAAGGTGCAAATAATTTTTAAGGCACGTGATAGTGCACAATGAAAATGGTAAGCGGGACTTCAATTACTTCCTCGTACTGCTATTTCATAGATATCTAAGAAGCGAGATGCTGGATCCTTAATTTTACTGCTGCTTCGTAAGTTGGTCTGAAAGAACTGCATTACATCAATCATTGTGGCAAAAGATCAGTATCTCTCATCTGAACAACATCAAGATTAGTACTTATTTATACTTTTTTGACAATTATTAGTACTTATATATAACTTCTGTGTATACAAAGAGTATATTTGCATCCAAACATTTAGCAAATACCTAGAATGGAAAGATGTGTGTATGCCAATTGCTTCTTACAGAAGTCATAATATTTGAGTGAAAACTTTTATATGGAAACAAAGAGCAGTGAGTGCACAGCCAGCCGATAGCATGGTGCCTTTGTCAGTAGAGAGAGTGAGAAAGGAAGGCACATATGAAGTTATAAGAAAGAATTTGAGTTCATTCAGGAATGGATAGAAGGAGGAACACTAGGAAGAGTATCCTAGTTCGTTCTCTTGTAGTCCTGTAACATACACAAATAGAGAGTAGTGCAAGTAGCCATCATGTCGAAAGCATATTGGAATTCATAGCTGCAATTAGCATTTCTGAAGTTGACGGAGCAGGTCCCAATCCATTCAATCCATCTAAATCGATCAATATTGACATAGTTCACGATAGTTGACTTACTAACTGGTACATGTGTATATTTTCTGTTGTAATCATGATCGGTTCACATGTTTTATACTCTATAGTTGTAACATGTTCAAAATTGTTGCTACTACCGAACATTTTTTTGGGGATGTGAAGACCTGAACATAATCTTTCACATCCCTGCGTTACTGTTGCTGATAACCTTATCCAACAACAACACCAATAGTCCAACACCTAGTTATCAACTATGCCTCCAATTCTAATCTAGTTGAAGTTAAAATCAATTATATGAATCCTCACCATTCATTTCGCTCCAACTGGACCCATTCCATTTATATTCAATAATTATCTCGCTCTCTTTGCTCCGTTTTTCCTTTATCTTTGAACTCTCCATAAAGAATTTTAAAAACATGTTCACTTTGGGGCAATCTCAAAATAAAAAAAAAAATCTTAATGCAAAATTAGAAAAAGAAAAAACAAAACTAAATCTCCATGATACAGAGAGAAACAAGGATCAGATTCCTTTTAAAAATACAAAAAATATAAAAATGAACAAGGGTCAGATTATTTGATTAAACTAAACCTTAAGCAATCTGAGTAAATGGTACCATAGGAAAATGATAAATTGAACTGTCAAAACTGTCCATTACATTGAATGGTGTTGTTTTTTGGATTGCCCTCAAGAGAAACCTTGGTTTACTTACTCGTAGAACCATTAATTTTCATCATTATAATGTTAGAATAAGCTACGAAGAATCTATAGGTCTGAAGTGGATAAAGACTGATTTTGAAATATTATTTAGGATACCATACTAATAGTTAATGTGATCGAAGGAATTCTCTTTGTTGAGCAGTGTAACTTACCTACATCTTTGTTTACTGTGTGAGTATATGTATGTACATTCAACATGCACAACATATACACTGATTGTCTATGAGTATCAGGGTGCTGTCGCAAACATATATTAGACACCAAATATACATGGGAATTTTGCTGGTTAGCAGTGCTGACCATTTTTTCTATTTCATTTTTATACAATTTTCTTGAACTTCAAAGGATCTGTTTCTCCAGATGTGTTATGTTTGAATTTTTGGTCGGCAATGTTCATGAACAATTACTTAAGTTAATAATAGAAAATGATAAGATTCTTAAACGGTAAGTCTTGAAGTTGTTGCTTGAAGTTAAAATGAAGTAGAATATGGTTAAAGATGCATATGATGTTGTATTGATTATCACATCACCACCTCCAAATGGTTTGCATGACAGAACATTCTCAAATTACCTTTATTTTCAGGTTGGCATGTTTGTAGTGTATGTCAAAAGGCTTCCCACTATATGTGCTATACTTGTACATATTCGGTGTGCAAAGGATGTACAAAAGATGCTGATTTCTTCTGTGTTCGAAGAAGCAAAGGCTTTTGCTCAACATGCATGAGAATTATCATGCTGATTGAGAATATAGACCAAGGGATCAAGGAGATGGTATGTTTTTCCCCATAATCTAATTGCTGATTATTAATTTGACATTTCATGATATCATCAAGTCTAAATACCAAGATATCCCTTCAAACTTGGCGGGATTTGTCAGTTAGACACCCACACACAGCTGGTGACCAGATAGGTACCTCTATTTGAAAAAATTGTGATCTGGTGTGTTCCACATAAATCTGAGCGCGTGAGACCTTAATCATGGTTTTTCTCTACTTCCTTTTTCAGTATAATATTGAATTTTGCATGGACCTCATACATCCACCCTTCTACTAGAGAACTTTCATGGCTTATTCCAATTTACTTGAGCAATTTTCTCGAACATCTATTTATCACTCGACAACAATAAGATGAAAGGAAGAACTTTCAGTCAAATCGGCAGGTTAAAGCACCCCTCTGCCACTGTTTCTTGACAAGTTGATAGGCCAAATCCAGATTCTATTGCAGGAGTACCAAATCTTCGGAACCTTAGTTTATCTAGAAATGCTCTCTTAGATCCTTTGCCTATTGCGATTACCATATCCTCCCTTCAACTCTGTCAATAGACTTTTCATATAACAATTTTTATAATTTCTATTTGGGAACAGTGCCAGAATGGATTAGAAACAGAATACTTTCTGATGTCAACTTAGCAGACTGTAAGCTTAGTGGGACACTTCCAAATATTACAATGCTTAATTCCCTTAACACCATAGACCTATCAGCTAACTTCTCCATGGATGGTATATCAAATTTCTTTGCACATATGTCAAGCTTGCAAAAGGCAAAGATACCCCACAACCAGTTTAAAACTGATGTTGCTGGGTTCAAATTTCCATGGAATTTCATCTCTTGACCTCTGTTTAAACAAGTTTTTCGGGTCTCTTTTAGAGATGTTAAGCAAACAACCAACCAATAAGACAATTAAATTCTTTGAGGCAATTAATACCTTGAACAATCAACTTTCTGGGAACATCCCCGAGTTCATTGGTGGCTTAAACAGTGAACAAAAACCATCAATGGATATCAGAGAATGGACACATTCAAACAACTAGAAAACATGGCCAGAAAATGCTCTCCGGCAGCAAACCAACTTCTCTCCTGTAACATATTCTTTTCTTTCCCCAAAATTCATGGTGATGCTTAGAGTTGTTTTGAGGTTCAATAGAATATTTGTTGGTATTTTTTAAAATAAAATTATAATTTATAGGGGGCATTTTTTATAGGAAATATTACACGTGACGTGTGTTGATTTGTTCATCCATCACATCAATAGTGAATGTTTTCATGCGTGAACATAGGTGTTCACAGACACACCTCTGCCAGGTAGAGGTATTTTAATGGTCACCAGGTAATGTAGTGTTTAAACAATTCGTACCAAGCTTGAGGGGCTACCTAGGTATTTGGCCTTCCACTAATTTTTTCTATTTTGAGTAAGAGACATTCTCCTGACGATTAATGAACTTACCTGTGAATATATAAAAAATGTCACATTCCCCAGTTACAGATCTGATTATCAGTTCTAATTACTGAACTTTTGCAGTAAAAAAAAAGAAGAAATCTTGATTTTGATACTTGTCTACCATATGTATTTAACTTTGTGTGCCTAAAATCTCTCCAGGTTCAAGTAGATTTTGATGACAAAAGTAGCTGGGAGTATCTCTTCAAGGTATATTGGATGTACTTAAAAGAAAAATTATCATTAACACAAAGTGAACTTATTCAAGCTAAAAAACCCTGGAAAGGATCAGATACAGTACACGTTAAGCAACAGCGACTACCTTTTTGTCATCCTGTTGCATTTGATGGCAAAGGTATTGTGGGCAAGTCTTTTGACCATCTGGAGCTGAAAAAACCCGTACAATTGCTGGAGCCACCTTGCCAGGATCCTCCAATCACTGAAGTCCAAACAATTGCTGAGGCTGAAAATTTAAGTGGTCCTGGTTGTACTCCACAGTTGGAAAAAACACAGCACATAGAACTAGAGTTACGGAGGAATGATTCTTTAAAGAAAGAAAAAGCAAGTGCTTCCACGGGGACATCATTGAATGGACGCATGGAATGGGCATCCAAAGAGCTTTTGGAGTTTGTTGCACACATGAAGAATGGTGATACTTCTGCTCTATCACATTTTGAGGTGCAGGCACTATTACTAGAGTACATAAAGAGAAATAAACTTCGAGATCCTCATCAGAAAAGTCAAATAATTTGTGATTCGAGGCTCAGAAGTCTTTTTGGAAAACATCGTGCTGGACACATAGAAATGCTAAAGCTTCTTGAATTTCACTTTCTGATAAAGGAGGATTCGCAGGGGAGTGCATTTATACCAGCTGGAATTGTTGGAAATGTTACTAGTCGTGTGGAGGCTGATGATAATAATGATATCTCATTCTCGATGAATAAAACTAAGAAACGTAAATCGCGTAGACACACCGAAGAAAGTTCAGTGCAGATAAATCTAGATGAGTATGCAGCAATTGATGCTCATAACATCAATCTCATATATTTGCGCCGTGATTTGATGGAGAGTCTTATTGAAGATATGGAAAAGTTTCAAGGCAGAGTTATTGGCTCGGTTGTCCGTATAAGAATATCTGGTAACAATCAGAAGCAAGATATGTACAGGCTTGTCCATGTCGTAGGTACTGATATTTCTTTAAAAGCTTTAAACTGCTCATGATGGTATAAATAAGATTTCTATCTAGTTCCCAGAGCACATAATTTCTTCAACTCAGGTACAAGCAAGGCATTTGTTCCATATAAGATTGGGGACAAGACTGCTGATGTACTGCTGGAAGTCTTAAACTTAAACAAGAAAGAGATTGTTCCTATTGATTCTATTTCAAATCAAGATTTCTCTGAGGTAATTAGATACAAGTGACTCTTCCTTGTTCACTACTTTGAGTTGCAAAATTGTTGCATTTATCAATGAATAGCTTCATTTTCCTGTTTACAAATGGTACATAAATCTTATTTCTGCTTAGTTCTGCGAAGAAAAAAAAACTTTGGACTTAATTCAATCCCAAAAAGTTAGCTCAAGAGATCAGGATTGTCTACGATCATATAAAAAAAATACAGTCCATGCAACTTGTTCAGTCTAACATCCTTTGGTGGTATGCTCAGACTGGTTGGAGTAATGATAACATAATCTGGGTCCCTACCATGGTTAGTCTAGTATCAGCGATGAATTTGACTTTTATATATCAAGCAAAATGGACCTTGGACCTAATCTATTCCTAAAGTTATAACTCGTGAGAGTACTGTTTGGAACCATATGAAAAGACTACCACCAATACTTAAGCTTAGTGATATCACAGTAGGTGGGTTCAATTGGTTTTGTTCCCTTTCTCTTAAATTGTCTCCTATATGATAATAAAAAACTTTTTTTTTGAAGTGACTACCACCATACCACGCATACCTTCAACAGAGTGGGACTCTCAACTACTACTCTGTCACCCTAGTATGTTGTTCCTGTATAGTGTATATGGTTATTTTAGCAGGTGACTGCTGTTGATTCGGATAGTTTCTTAATCATTTATTGGCATATCTTCAGGATGAATGCAGAAGATTACGTCAGATTATAAAATGTGGGCTTGTAAAGCGGCTGACCATAGTAAGTGTTGAACCTGATGTCACTTCTAAGTTTTGCGTTAGGATATCGCAATGACTGACTAAATGATGCTTATTCTTCAACATAGGGCGAGATACGGAAGAAAGCAATGGAACTCCGTGCAGTAAAACTCAACGATGTGCGTCAGTTACTTTTCAATATTGATCACACCTTTTCATTATTCGTCGCAATTTTCTCTATCAGTATATGTAGATGGACATGTTTCCATTAATAAAATGGTCATGCAAATTTAATTGGAATGATAATGAATGGGCCACAGCCCACAAGAAATTGGGATGGGAGGAGCATAATTTAGTCTTTAAGATGTCCTTTTCTTTTAGATCATGTTTAATTTTTTGTGATATGAGCATTTCATCTGCGTAATAATTGAATACATTTTATTTTATTTTTAGCCAGCTTTTGCATGACTTTGAAGGGCCTAAATGAAGTTCTAATACCTATGTATCTTGAAAGGCGAGTATGTCTAGGCTAGGAAGCAGCCATGCCACATAGTTTGTTAGTGATATTTTGTATTGAAAGTAGTAAATATTTCACTTGGTCATGTGATCTCAATTGCAACAGAGAGGAATTGGTATAGTTGAATCTCTTATAATTGTGTTTAAATATTTCCTTCCTTTTTCGAAAGCACAAAGAAACTGCTTCTAAAAGAAGGAAAGGTATTGATTTCCTTTTAGGGTTTAGGGTTTAGGGTTTAGTCTTTAAGATGTCCTTTTCTTTTAGATCATGTTTAATGATCTTTGATATGAGCATTTCATCTGGGTATTAATTGAATACATTTTATTTTATTTTTAGCCAGCTTTTGCATGACTTTGAAGGGCCTAAATGAAGTTCTAATACCTATGTATCTTGAAAGGCGAGTATGTCTAGGCTAGGAAGCGGCCATGCCACATAGTTTGTTTGTGATATTTTGTATTGAAAGTAGTAAATATTTCACTTGGTCATGTGATCTCAATTGCAACAGAGAGGAATTGGTATAGTTGAATCTCTTATAATTGTGTTTAAATATTTCCTTCCTTTTTCGAAAGCACAAAGAAACTGCTTCTAAAAGAAGGAAAAGGTATTGATTTCTGAATGGTAACTAATCTACACATTTTGTTGCTCTACATTCCACAGTAAGTAAACTATTCTGACTAGTAAACAAACATAGGTAAATTGTTGTAGCTACTACTTTCATGGAACTTAAATATTTTTGTATTTGAAGATTTTATATATGCTGTCACTGTTACTATTTTCTATAAAGATGCTATATAAGCTGTGTTGTGATGAGCTTTTGTTTCTTTATTTTTGAAAAAAGAACAGACTTTGGAAGAAGAGATACTGCGACTCAACAATCTTCGTGATAGAGCAAGTGAGAAAGGGCGTAAGAAAGAATATCCTTTCCTCTGTTGAAACTGTTAGCCTCTATATAATGTTATCTCAAGATTAGGTTGATGGCTTCAATTTAAATAGCAGAGGCTCTATTTTAGAACTTCTGTGTTTTTCTTCTTTTCTCTTGCTCCACACTTTGTTTTGACAGTCCCATAGGTTTCTGTCTGTTTACCTTAACAAATTGATAATTTAGTTTATAGCATGAGGGAAGAAAAAATGAGTAGGTCAAAAACATGGATATGAACTAATTTAAATGGCAATGAGAAGGTTGGTCTCAAGTAGGCATATGACTAATTTGAATTACATTTACAATAAGTTTAAGTTACTTGAAAAGAAAAAAAAAGAACTCCAGGTAAAATGCCAAGTACTTTTTTTTTCTCTCATTGTTATAAGCAGATGGATAAATTTACTTCGCATAAATAGGGGTGCTTCTCAGAAGTCAATAATTATTTTGATAAGGTTCTGACTATTTTTGCTAGTCAGGATCTTCAGATACATTAGTAGTATTTACCATTTTTTATGAACTCTAAATTCATTTTAAAATTGGATCACTCGTATTCACTTTTTCTTTCTGCAGTCACCTCTTATAACTAGCACAAAATGATATATGTGTCGTACAAAAATTACTTAACCTATAGAAATGCACAAACTAAATCTTTAGCAATGAATTAGAGTAGACCATGAAATTGCCGCGGGATGATAGTGCATTTTTTAATTACAATTTTCAGTTCAACATCTAAATCTATTGAGAGTTTTCTTAGATCTCTCTGTAAAAGATTTGATTTTAATATTTTTCTTTGGATAAGAGCATATCATTTCAATATCTATATGGATATCATTTTTAATTGGAATATTGAACAAAACTTTGAGCATGGGTATGAGGACTTCCTTGACAATTCCCACGCTAAGAGAATGTGTAGAGAAACTAGAGCTTCTGAAGACGCCTGAGGAACATCAGCGGAGGCTACTTGCAACTCCAGAAGTGCACGCTGATCCAAAGATGGATCCTAATTATGAAACTGAAGAAGATGCTAGAGAATCTGACGACAAAAGACAAGGTTACATCATTTTGATTTCAGTAACTTTTTTCCAATTTATTGGTGATCTCTTTTAATTGGGCACTATTTGAAAGATTTTCTTACCGTTGATGGTAATGTAATGCAGTTGAATATGGGGGGCCAAGATTCACTAGATTTTGTAGAAGGGAAGACAAGCCTATGTCTTCATGGAGGAAAGGTGAGGTGGTTGTTGTACTAGTAAGTCTTCCAAAAGTTGATTCTTCATGAACTAATTTATTTTTTTTATCCAGATAAAGAGGGATCTATCATGTCTCGATGTAAAGTTAGTGAAAAAAGAGAGGCTCATGGAAATATCATGAAGAAACTAGGGAATCAAGGTACTGCACGTCAGGTTGTGGATAGGTGTGCATCTGAAACTTCAATTACAAGCTTTTCTACAGTGAACTCAACATTCACCAACTTTAGTGACACTGACAAGCTTTGGCATTACCGTGACCCTAGTGGTAGAATACAAGGACCGTTTTCAGTGACGCAGTTGAGGAAATGGAATAAATCAGGGCTTTTCCCCCTTGATATGAGGATATGGATAAAAGGTGAGCGTGATGACTCAGTACTTTTAACTAATGCACTAAAAGGGCTGTTCGGTATAGCCCCTCAGGTTCATGGTGAGATTTCACACCAGTCTCAGGAGCTTGGTGCTACTTCTGTTAACAGTAGTATTGGGTGGTGTAAAAGCGCAACTGGAATAGGGAGAGAATGTGGAGAGAAGGAGGTACCTTGGCACCTCCGTATTACAAATAATCATTCTAATGGTTACACTGAGACGGCGAGGATGGATGGGCTGTCATCATCTTTGCCACAATGTTTGGACTTGAATAATTCTTATTCCAACAAACCCCATCCATCCAGCCCAGAACCATCATCCAGTCATGGGAACGTGTATGGAGCTCCTTCCAATGAGAAAAGATGCCATGAAATTGTTGATGTTCAGTCCAGTACAGGTCATATGATTCAAGACTCAAGTAGAAGCGATTGCAACCATAGTATGCAATCTCACAGTCAGAGGCATTCAGGGCAGTCTTGTGGACAGAACTGGGAACCTTCAAACAATAATAGAAGTTCAGTTAACATCAATTCTGGATCTAGTTTTGCTTCAGTTGCCAAGTCAAGTGATCCATCTCAACAGAAAGGTATCACGAGTTATCCAGATCTGCCCAGTCCAACCCCCAAAACAAGCTATGACGATGTTGATGCTCAGGCTGCTGAAGAGCTACTTTCTTTGAGTTTGGTTGTTCCAGTTAGTGCTTCAAATATCCAAGATTTGCCAAGTTCTACACCAGAATTGGAAGAAGAAGCTCCAGTTGGGCAGGCTGCAGCAAACAAAGATTCTTTAACTTCTAGTTTTCCTGTTCAGGATTCAGGTCCTAGTTGGAGCAGTGCTTCTAGTCTGGTGATCGATGGGGCCCAACTTCCTGAAATAGCTAATGGATTGGGTGGACCAGCTGTGAAACCATCTATAGGCTCTGATCTTATCTCTGATTCTGCACTGAAACCTGCTGAAGCAGTAGGTGATCATGTTGACACACCTACATCAGATGTCAACCTACTGAAACCAGCTGAAGAAGTGGGTGATCATGTTGACACACCTACGTCAGATGTCAACCAACTGAAACCAGCTGAAGCAGTGTGTGATCATGTCGACACACCTACGTCAGATGTCAACCAACCGAAACCAGCTGAAGCAGTGGGTGATCATACTGACACACCTACATCAGATGTCAACCAACTGAAACCAGCTGTCGCAATGGGTGATCATGTTGACACACCTACATCAGATGTCAACCAACTGAAACAAGCTGAAGCAGTGGGTGATCATGTCGACACACCTACATCAGATGCCAACCAACACCCTGATAATTCTTCATCTAATCCAATCTCAAACTTCTCCGATTGGCGAGCAATCTTTGGTGAACCAATAGAGTTCAGCACTTTGGATGAGGAATCCGTGTCAGACCTATTAGCTGAAGTTGATGCAATGGAATCTCAAACTCAAAGTGGTATGGGTTCACCAACCTCCGCCATGGCGTTCTGTGAGGAGACAATAGCTGGATGTAGAGGGGACTTTTTCAGCTTTTTGGAGGAGCTTAGTCCAACGCCTGACCCTGCAAAAAATGATGCCTTGAGCTCCACTGAAGATATACAATTACCTTGTCAATCCTCTCTGACAAACGAACTAGCGAGGACATTACATGCTGAAGCTTTTGATCCTTTTAAGAGGTCTAGCAGGACTTCGTCTACTAGCAGTGAGGGAGAAACAAAGTCAGCTGATATTTCCTTTTCCCAGGGGGACACTGGGTTCAATATACCTACACCCTGCACCACGGGGAAAACTGCAGTTTCAGTCATCAGCCAGAGTACTGAACTGGAAGCTATAACCACCGACTGTTGTGCAGCACCTGGAAACATGACATACTGTGGACCAGTTCAGGGATTCACAAATGTTAATCAAGGTAGCAGCATGGGGACTGCATGCGGTTATTCAAACACGAATGATTCCCCTTTCACCGGGAATACATTGTCTGAAAGCCAGTGTATATACTCGGGGGAGAGGTCTGGTGGTCCAAGAGACTGGGTTATTCCAGTAGGGGATTTGGGATTTGAAAGGGATAGGTAATTGTGGTGCAGACAGTCGTTTGGTGGCAAGGGATACTCTTAACCTCCCCAAAAATGACAAATGTGTTGGCAAATTTTATGAGAGCGGACTTTGCAAGAAGGGGGAATCATGCGACTATTTGCACCTTTGAGAAGGTATGAACTTAAAGGTGAAATCAAACAATCATTTTTTAGTAGGATGATCAAGATGTAGCTAAAATATTAGTATGATTTTTTAGCTGATCAAATTTCAGTTAAAAAAGGCAGGATACGAAAAGAACCCCACTGAGTTCCATAATGTTAACCAGGTAGAAACTAGTACACACTAAAGCAGACAAAAATAGTTGTATCATTCTTGTATTTGATCCTGCAATTGTTGCTCTATGTACAAACTACAGCAGTGAATTGATGAATTTGTATGTATACATCAGAGATTTTCTCTTTCGAGATTGATTAGTTTTCACTTTCAATCTTGTTGGCAATTCTAAGGAACTAGTTCAAGATACTTGTTCTGTACTGTAGTTGCATTACAGCAAATTAGCATTTAGAAGCAGTATACTATTTTCTTGGTCTTATTCAACAGTTGTAGACAAATTGACAATAAACTAGTTGACAACAGGCATCCAAAATCAAGTACCGTGTTAGTCTGGAGACTTGACTAAAACTATTACATTAATCAAGTAATTAGAAGGTAGGTAAGTTTATTTTTAACATTTATTATCAACAAAAATCGAGAGAAAAATAAAAGATTACTCCATCCAACCCCAACTTATCTTTAATTGAAATATGTTTGGTTGGCAAAATTATTCCACTGAGCAAAAGAAAACAATATCTACCCTGACATTTTTACATATTGGTAACATAAATTTCCTCAGTTTTACCAAGAAGCCTATGTATATCGATTCTCTGAATACTGCAACAATCCAAAAAAAAAAAAATCCTACATTTTTTCAGCTTTATTCGAATTTAGGCCAAAATAGAAAGTGAGTCTTAACTAATTTGCTTACGTTTGGTCTGTCGAGAACAACAGACTCTGTTGGTTAATTGTTTTATGTAATAATCATATAGCAAATAGTACTAAATTTTGAACTCAAACATTCAAAAAAATTACATACAACATTGAATTCTAAAGCTAAAGTAGGTGAGTCAGTCTATCATTTAATATATTAACTTTTTAAAAAATTCTAATCCCATTTTGACACGTATGTATACTAATTATAAATGAAGAAACCAAAAAGGAAAAAAAAAAAGAAAGCATAATCTCTCTTTTTCTTTTAAATTTGTTTTGCACTAACACTTTGAAGTTCAAAACCCTACCTTGAAAAAATAAAATCTTCTAAACTTTAAAATAATAATAATAATAATTCCTTAAAAACTCTAACTTCTAATACTATTAATTTTTCAAAAACTCTGAACCGGCGGACCCGGTTCAGTTTCCTTCTTCTGCCGCATTTCCAAAACCTTCCGGTGACTGTTCGAGTGTAACCCAGTCGAAAACGTCGGACTACTTGCCGGCCGGTATTCTGGTAACAGCCGGCCGGATTTAAACCGGACTCCACAAGCATTGCAAAGTGTTTTCTCACCTAATGGACCGGTCCGCCATAGTGGAGTCTTCTGCACCCCACAATGACTGCACTGTTTTGCCCCAATTCCTATACGTTTCTCCATCTTCTTCTTTGGTTTCCTCGCCGCCGGTTTATTTTCTACCGATAACTCACCCCAAAAACTGTTGGCTGTAGTGGAGGAAGACGAAGAAAATGACATTGACGGAGGTTTATTTTTCTCTCGTTCGGCACCCAACGGAGCGGTGAAACAGGGCTTCTCTCGGACCGGAATTTCTACGTTTGAATGAAGTTTGAGAGATTTTCCCGGTAGGTTTCCGGCAGAGTATGTGAGTGAATACTCCGAAAATGAATCTTCCACAAAATGAGATAACCATTCTAGGTTATCCAAATCAGCCCCCTGCAAAAAAAAATGGTTCAATTCATTCAAAACAAAAAACCAATTGATTTTTTCACAAATAAATAAAAAAAAAGGGGACTAAGCTTACAGGAAGGCTGATTTCACAACCAAGAAGAGAACCAAAATCTTGTTTCCCAGAAGGAATAATAACAGTTTCTTTATCACATTCCTTAATCTGTTGCGACGACGAAGAGTTGTTGTTTTCATTTTCATTTTCTTCGTCCTCAGAGAAACCATTTGACAAGTCAAGAAGTTCGTCAACAAACAAATCATCACCGGAAACAAAACTTTGACAGTTGCCGGAGTAATCCATTTTCTGTTTAAAAATCTGAACGAAAAAAAGAAAATGGTGAGAGATAAGATTGCGTTAGGTAAAGAATTGAATGGGGGGAACACAAGAAAGTTACTCACTTGTTGCGTTACTTGCCCAAATACTTCAAATTTTTTTTCCCGAATTGTGGTGAAATGTTACTATAGCTTAAATTTGAATTAATTAAAAATCTAATATAATATCAAAATGATCTTGAGAACTAAGAAAAAAAGGTGAAGCTTGCCTTCTTTTTTTAAAAAAAATGGCTATACTAATGTGGAGTAATATTTTATTTCCTTTCTACTGTAAATTTATATTTGTATATATATTGATTTGTGCACTCCTATTTTCGTTATAATTAATTTAAATTACATAAAAGGAAAAGTCAAAAGTCATAGGAAATATGCGATTACAATACCATTTATCTTTTTCAAAAAGTTATGAAAAGTATACATCGATTATATAATAAAATTTATATAAAATTATAAAAAGTAGACATTAATTATATAATATAACTTACTTATACATTAGTTATACATTAATTATAATTATACATTATGATGCACTTTAAAAAATTAATTTTATTTTAATTTATGCATAAAATATATATTGATTATTTAATCTTGATCAACATAAAATTACTTCTAAATCGTCCTAATCATAAACATAAAATTTTCTCAAATAAATTAAATCTTTTATTATATAATTTACTTAAAACAATTGACATTCAGATATCATTTTGGTATGAAAACAAAGGGGTATCGAAGTTTGTTCAGCCCACTTGATTTTTTACCAAGAGTTTTGATTTGGTAAAAGTTAGTACGGATAGCTTCACTTTTAAAAAAAAAATAATTACACAATCGTGATATGTTATAGAGTAATTTTTCTACGTAGTTATTTATGTTTGAGAAATTACCTAGTAATATCATTTATATTTATTTTAGTATTATAAGATCACCTAACTTTGTTTATTTTTGTCAAAATATATTTGATACAAAAAGAATACATTAATTCTCTCCTACTAGGGTGTCATGTCACATTTTTTAACTTATTATTAATATTTTTCTAATTCTTTAAAAGAATAAGAGAAACCCACATATTTTCTTGAAGAAGCGGAGGAGCTCATATTACGGTTCTTAATGTAATTCCTTTTACTGGGAATAATACACTATAACACACTGAGTAATTTTCATTTTTTTTTCCTGTAATAACCATTACTTTTTTTATTAAAAAATAGTCAATTTCATCTTTTTCCTTTAATATTGAATTAATTAGAGACATTTAAAAATCATCCATTTCCGTTACAGTTTTTTTTAACAAAAAAACTTTATTTTCTATTTAAAATAACTATATTAAAATTCTTTTTTTAGTTGTATTTTGAGAGCATATTTAAAATGTTTTTTACTGGGGTAGGAAATTACTTATAAAATAAGTTCAGGGGTAATAGGATCTTAGTATAGTATAAGTGTGTCTCTGGGATTTCGGACATAGGTTGATGGGGTACTTGTGCATTTTCCCTTATAATTATTCAAAATTGATAAATTTATAGTACGTTTTAAAAACGTATTTTGCATAACATAAAAAAAATAAAAAGTTAAATTATGATAAAAAAAAATTAAGTATGAAAATTTATTCTCCATAAATTAATAAATTAATAAAAAAATTAAAAATAATATGATCATTATTTTAGTTAAATGAGTTTAATGAATTAAATTAATCTATTATTCAAAAAAGACTTTAGTGACAGATCATATCAACCAGGAGAGTGATGTTTTTGAAGTGCCAAGTATATTTGGAGGAATAGTGATAGTTGGGTGATATTTTGATCCTAAATGAAATGTAAATGATATTTCAAGGCAATTTATTTAACTTGGGTGACCATTTAGGAATTATAGGGTTCAATTTACATCTCCATACACGCTTAGAGACACACATATACAAAAAAAGAAAAAAGAAAAAAAAGAAGAAGCTAATTGCGAGCTTTAGTTACCATAACATACTGGAACCATATAAACGACGTGCGGATAAAATTTCATATCAATAGCTGAATAACTTAGAAAGCAACATATTTAATGATACAAGGCCTTTTGACAACTCTCTGAGTATCAAAATAGACAATATTACATTATATTAACTATTAAGAATATCTTTTGAACTTATTTAGTCCAACCATCCATGATGTCACGTATTAAGAATATCTTTTGAACTTATTTAGTCCAACCACCCATGATATCACAATTTTACCAGATTACTAGTACTTACCAAAGAAAAAGGGATAATGCCCAAATACCCCCTCAACCTATGCCCGAAATCTCAGAGACACACTTATATTATACTAA